AGGAGAGAATGAAGTTGGAGTAAGAATGACCATCTAAAACGCCAGAGGTATGGATTTGCTAAAACAACTTCTTCCACATGCTCCCTGCCTCCCCCCCACCAACGAAGAAGCAGATGCCTTCAAGATGAAAACAGTTGTCAAACCAGACATGATACACTCCTAGCATCTGAGCACTTATATAAGTCACCTGGAATAAATGCACCAGCCCCTGCTAGGCACATTCCTGTCCAACAAGAAAAGCTTCAAACTGCACTGAAGGCTTGACCCCTAGCTGGTGCAAACTTCAGGGAGGTGGAAGCCAAATGGGAAAACGCCCTATGAGGCTTGCCGATTATCATTTGGTGTTAAGCCAGTTTGCTACTGCACTGGTCCCTGCTCTCCTTCCCGCTTCCTCATTGCCATGACCACACCTCTGCTCTCCCATGACCTCTCTGCCATGACATTTAGCAGCATCTCAGCAGCAAAGCAAAGGCTACGGAACCATGGGCTAAAAGTTCCTGAACAAAAGCAAATCTTTGCCCAGTACTGTGGCAGCAACAGGAAACAAACATGACAAGTCCATAGAAAAGGCTAAGTAGAGAGATAAGGCCCATGAGGCCCGGAACAGCAGGTCCTCCAGCAACCAGCCTCTTCTCCACAAAGGACTTCACTCTCCACCACTGGTCAGAGGGACCAGGAACCCTGCACTCCTAGGACCACAGCCTGGCTACGTACCTCGGGGGTGATGGAGCCACAGAGCTGGCTGATGAGGGCAAGCTGGTGCTGCTCCGTGTTGCCCTGCATGATAGGGCTGCGAGTCCACATCTCTGCCATGATGCACCCTGCACCCCACAGGTCAATGGGCGGGCCGTAGTCCCGCTCTCCTGAGAAGAAGAGTGTTACCAGGAGGGTCCTTTAAGCCCGAGGGCTCCCCGAAACTCAATGTCCCAGGGCTTATGACTCAGGAGGCCCTGGCAATGGAGGCTGTGGCCAGGTAGGTACCCGGCCCCTGCCCCCCTCGGGAGTCCTCACCGAGCAACAGCTCCGGGGGCCGGTACCACAATGTCACCACTCGGTTGGTATAGCGATTGGGCTGGCTGTTCTTGGCTAGGCTGAATGCACGGGCCAGCCCAAAATCTGCCAATTTCAGGACCCCATCCCGAGTGATGAGCACGTTGGCAGCCTTCATATCTCTGTGCAGGATCTGCAGGGGGACACAGGAGGGCCAATTAGCACCATCCACAAGCAGTTAAGAGCAAAGCACAGGGGCAACCCCAGCCTACCCCCACAGCCCAACCTTGTTCCTGTGGATGTAGTAGAGGCCATTCAGCAGCATCTGCATCACCCTCTTGATCTCAGACAGCGTGAACTTGACTAAGACGTTGCTCAGCAGCCCAGCAAGGTCATGCTCACAGAAGTCAAACACCAGATAGATACTGCCCTTGCATCGGTTATAGGGGGAGGCTGACACAGAATGGACAGGGGGAAAAAGTTAAAGACCTATGCACACCTCACTTTTCCACAGTCAACTCCCAACCCTCCAGCCCCTAGACACCTATGAGTGCCCATGAAAAGCACCAACCCTAATGGGAAAAAAAGAGAAAGCCGTGTGGTAAATCTGAGTCGGGAGGAGGCAATGTAAGCACATCCACTCCAGGGGCGCAAACAAAGCCTCCCGTGGCTTCCTTTGCTCCTGAGATCCAAACAACATACCTTTGGTTCGACAGATCTCAATTAGGTTGACCACATTCTCATGTTTTAAGAGCTGTAGAATCTTGATTTCCCGCAAGGCTGTGATGGGGAACTAGGGAGGAGAAAGAAAAGGAAGTGGTCAAAACTGTGCAATATACCAAGGAACTGGTCAACGGGGAGTTTACACTAGGGAACAGCGGCTGAAAGGCAGGTGAGAGTATGGACTCTGTATGATGGTTCCTGTCTGTAATCCAATCCCATTACCCAGGAGTCACAAGACAGCAGAACTGCCAAGTTCAAGACCAGCCAGGTTACATAGCTGAGATCCTGACTCAAGAGGCAGGGAGAGAAAAGTTATACATATATATTACACATAACACAATGTAAAGACCTGCAGTCAACCTCTGCAAAGTACAAAGTGAAATAAAGAGAACATCTCAAAGAGCTGCTAGATTTTACCACTTAGATCAGGCTGGCCTTGAACTTGTTTGTGATCTTCCTTGTCCTTCAGCCTGAGTGTTGGGATCATGATCATAAGCCTCTATCCATGCCCCGCTAGGAACTTATTTTAGACAGCCAAAACAGGGATTACATCTTTGTCACTATCACTCGTGGGTTAAAATGAAGAATTTTTTGGAACTAGAGATAGCTGAATGGTTAAGAACCCTCCAGATCCATGAAGTCCCCCCAAAACCAATTAAGAGACCAAGTCCCATATATAAAAGCAAAAAGCCTTTATTCTACCCAAGTTTGCAAACTCTCTGTGTGTCCAACACATTGGAGTGATGTGAGAGCCCAAGCTCAGTTAGAGTTGGGTTTTTCTAGTAGCAAAGGTGGGAGTAAGGGATTTCTAAGGTTCAGGACCTCTGGTTGGCTGACATTTGTCTGGGGGTGTCCTGGTGAAAAATAATGGGTATGTGCTAGAAGATGATCCTGTCTACAACTATTAGAAAGTTAGGCATTTCCTTTGGATGGTCTGTTCTTGGGCGGTGCTCGGGTAATCTCAGTTTGTGGTTCTTCCTGCAACATTGCTTCAGGGTAAACTACTGAGACTCAGGCCTCCATTAAACTTATCAGTGGCTGAGTCCTACTCTGACAGGTGATAATGGTTGGAAGTTCAGAACTTTCTTTGGGTGGTCTGTTCCTACTAAGCTCATCATGGCTGGCCGAGTCCTACACAGGCCTGATGGACCATGTCTTCTATTGCAGCAGAGGCAGCTGGATCTCTCTAAGTATGAGGCCAGTTTGGTCCACACAGGGAGTTCAATAACAGATGGGGATTTGCAGAGATCCTACATCAAACAAACAAAACGTATGTAATAACTTTTTAAAAAACAAACAGGAAACACTGGCTAGAGGATCCTGGTTTAATCTCAGCACCCACATGGTGGCTCACCACCTTTTAACTGTAGTCCCAAAGGATCCAACACAGCTTTCTGACCGCCTCAGGCACGAGGCAAGCATGTGGTACACATAGGCACAAAAACAAAACACCCGTACACAGAAAATAAATTGAAAATGATTCTTTACTAATTAAATGGTTGGGGATGGACAGCATGCGTTCCTTCAAGACAGGGTTTCTCAGTAGCTATGGAGCCTGTCCTGGAACTCACTCTGTAGACCAGGCTGGCCTCGAACTAACAGAGATCCGCCTGCCTCTGCCTCCCAAGTGCTGGGATTAAAGGCGTGTGCCACCACTGCCACCGGCTCTTTTAAAACGTAGCTTGAACTTAATCACCTTTTAAAAGGCCTGTGCACGCATTGTTTCTTCACACAAAACAAAAAGCAAAGGCTAAGCTAAAGGGGTTTTAAACGCTTGACTTTTAGAGTCAACTGCATGCAATGTCTAGGCTCCCTCACTTGGCCCCCGCCAAACTCTGTCACTTAAAACTGAAAGTGGAAAGCTAAATTCCTTGTTACATGGAAAATCAGAAAATACTAAGCATAAACATAGCATCAGCACAAAAGCCTTTAGAGCAGCAGTCTAAGCAAACCCGACCCAGTCTGGAAGGCGTGCCCAGTGGGCCACTCACCCCCTCCTTCTCATTCTCCATCAACACTTTCTTCAGAGCCACCTTCTGACCCGTCTGACGGTGCTTGGCTTTAAACACTTCCCTGCAGGCACAGAGAAAGGCCCAAGAGAGCCCATCAGGCATTTCCGCAGGGCCCGCCCCTCCCCCACACGAAAAGGGGCAGCAGGAGACTAGACACCCGGCGGGGCGCGGCCTGCGGTTCCGGTACGCCGCTACTCTGCACCTCGTGTTTTCCGCCTCTTTCCCAGCCTCGGTGCTCGCCCCTCGGGCCCTGCTTCTCCCCGAGGAGTGATTCCGCTCACATTCTGAGCGCCTCTCGGGAACCCTACCCCACCCCCATCCAGGGCCTCAGGCTCCTCCCCGCTAGTCCGCTCGGTTAGGCTGGGACGGTCTGCGGTGCGGCCTAGCGGGACCAGGCAACAGCCAGGGAAATAGAAGCTTCCGGGCCACCTCGACCCGGGCCCCGGACATTACGACGTCTGCCCTGGAAAGTATAGGTCCTGAGCTCCTGGCTCCACGCGGCCTAATCTTACCCGAATGTGCCTTGGCCGATCTTGGCAAGTTTCTCATATTTGGTGACCTCATCGCAAAACGGACATTCCACCGAGTCGTACTGCTTGGCCATGGCCGCCTCCAGCGCACCGCCGCCACCCCCAGTCGCAGCTCCCGCCGCTCCCGGTCCCGCCACACTCCAGGCCCCTCCGCGGCCGCGCCACTTCCGCCTCCAAGGCCACTTCCGGCCTCGAGGTGCCGAGCCCGCCTCTTCCGGTCTCCGCCCGCCGCCTGGCCCCCTGGGACTTGTAGTTCCCGAGAGGCCAGGGGGAGCCGGAGCTGCAGAGGAGCCTCCGCCGCCGCCACTGCCCCCGCCTCCGCCGCCGCCGCCAATGCTGTTGGCGGCTCCGATCGGGGGCGCAGGGAGCCGTGGCGCTGGGGCTGGGGCTCGCGGCGGTGCGTCCCGCTGCATTGGCCCGGGCCGCGCTGCTGCCGAAGCTGCTGCCGCTCTGGCTCCCGATCCGGGGCCAGCCGCAGTGCCCTGCTCCTCCTCCTCCGACGGCGCCGCCTCCGCCCGGCTGCGCGGGGCGGCGGGTGGGGGGAAGGAAGGCCTGGGGAGGGGAGAGGGCGGGGGCTCCCTAGCCAAGCCCGGCCCGGGGCAGCCGGGCAAAGGGGCGAGACTGGAAGAGCCGATGAAGAGGCGGCCCGGCCTGAAAGCCCGGGACGGGGGCGCGTTATAAAGGGGGAGGTGCCCGTCCTCGCCTCCCCTCCCCCCTCTGCCCGCCCCCTCCCTCCTCCTCCCACCCTCCGCGGCCGCACCTGCCGCCGCCGCCTCCCGCCCACCCGCTTCCAGTCCAGCGTCCGCCCTCGGCGCGTCACTGCCAGCAGCCCCTCCTCTGCCTTTGGAGGTGGGGCCCTGCACTAGACACCTGCCTGCGGCGCCCTGCCGCGTGCCTCAGTTTACCCCCCCAATGCCAGCTGCCACGGAATGCCCCTTCTTCCTGGGCTGAGTGTGCTCCCGGTGAGGCGAAGGCGGGAAGTGCCGAGGGAGCGGCCTGAGTCCCTGGGAAGAGAGAACTGCCCCCGCTGCCACCTTCCGTCTTCTCAGCCACCCGCCGTTGACATGGCAACTGACGGCCGCCAGGGGGCGCGGCGACACTGAAGGCGGAGAGCGAGGAACGCTCAGGCCTAAACCCTGGATCTTGTGTTGTCAGGGAGGCAGGGTTGAAGACCAAGGTCCTCCTTCGTGGAGCTGTGCCAGAACTTGTCTGTCTTGGGTTGGTCATCGCAAAAATAGTTAACATTGTTCCATCACTCCCGTGTGCTTTAGAAATGCTGGGCATAACCGGGCGGTGGTGGCGCAAGCCTTTAATCCCAGCACTCAGGAGGCAGAGGCAGGCGGATTTCTGTGAGTTAGAGGCCAGCCTGGTCTACAAGAGCTAGTTCCAGGACAGGCTCTAAAGCTACAGAGAAATCCTGTCTCGAAAAAACAAAAAGAGAGAGAGAAAGAAATGCTGGTGTTCCGGTTGACTCCTGAACCAATCCTGTGACCAAGGTTCACTAACCCATTACCGGAGGTTGTCTGCTCAAGCCAGCACAGTGGCAAGGCTCGCTTTAGCTACGAAGAGGTTCTTATTCAGGCCGGTATCCACTGATCACCCTAGGACCCACCCAGTCCGACCCTCCTCCACCACCATCTTCTTGTTCTCAGGAGACTCCAGTGCAAGCCTGGAAAACAGTGTTTTCTCCCTTCCTCCCAAAGATGGACCCCAGCCGGGCGGTGGTGATGCACGCCTTTAATCCCAGCACTCGGGAGGCAGAGGCAGGCGGATCTCTGTGAGTTCGAGGCCAGCCTGGTCTACAAGAGCTAGTTCCAGGACAGGAACCAAAAGCTACGGAGAAACCCTGTCTCGAAAAATCCAAAAAAAAAAAAAAAAAAAAAAAAAACCAAAGATGGACCCCGAGTCCCGCTTCACCCAGCCTGGCTTCTCCACCTTCCCCACTCCAGCATGCTCCAGATCATTCTGAAGTCTGTTATGTCTCCTTCTACAGTCTCGAAATTTTGAGTGTGACACTCAGGATCCTTCCAGCTTTTACCTCCGGCTGTGGCCCTGGAAGCTGCTTTCTGTTCACCGGTTTCCCAAGCCCTCCTGCCTTCAGAGCTGTGGTTCCCCATAGCACCCCACTCCCCAGGACTGGCTGCAGGAAGCCTTTTGGTTTGCTTCCACCTCTTGTTTTGTTTGATTGACACAGGGTCATGCTATACAGTCCTAGCTGGTCTGGTGCTCACTGAGGAGTCTGTGCTGACCCTTACACTCTAGGCAACCCCCTTGCTTCAGTCTCCAGGCATCACTATGACCAGCATTGCTTTCCAGTTTTATCCGGCACTGGCTGGACTTGAAGCTTCTCGGAAGGAGGAATGGTTTTGAAGACCCTGGTGTCCCAGGAGTAAGTACCTTTTGTGAGAAGGGTCCTGCGAGGGAGGCCTTTCAAGGCACTCCATAGGGCCAGCCAGGGCTTCAGGAAATCAAGCCGCAAGTCAGGGAATGACAAGGAGCCTTCCTTCATGGCTCCACGGCTTACATGAAGCAAGAAGTGGGGAGGGGAAAATTCTGGTGTGTGTGAGAGAGTAATTTCAGTAATTACAATTATAGAAAGAAAATAAGAGGCTAAGCCCCACACAGCCCTGTATGGAGTTATTTCTGTTGTCAGTCGTAGGCAGAGGCCCCTACTCTTGCCTCCACTGTACACATGAGGACCCTGACACTCAGAGGTGAGATTGCTGGGCCATGGTCCCACAGCCCTAAGAGGCCAAGTTGGTTTTGAAACAGGTAAGTTTGGCATAAACTCAAAACAGTTACTTATGTCAACGTCCTTCCCAACCTAGGTTCAGAGTGAAACCAGGGCAAAGCTTGGGTACAGCCTCCCTTTCCTTGGTAATCATGAGAGGCGGTGGTAGGTAGCGGTGGCTCTGAGGGAAAGGCTGTCATGGGTTCGTGTGGGTGCTGCTATCAGATTTTCAGGCTATAGGCTGGTGCCTGTTTGTCATGAGCCCTCCCTAAGTCACATCCTGTGGGTAGAGAGGCTTCAGCAGAGTTTCCTGTGCTGTTGTCACCTCTGCCCCCAACAAGAACCCTAATGTCTTCCAGTCACTTCCCCCTCAGAATCGAGGGCTCTCAGCCCTCCTCAGGGGATGTAAGAATGGCAAGAGGCTCTGGAAGGCTGCCCAGGTCCAGAGCCTCAGCCCTTCACGACTGGGAAATACAGGAGGGCAGTGGGAGAAGCTGGCCATTTCCAATCCGTCTTGACTTCTGATTTGCAGGCTTCAGATACTGCCTGCTTTCTGTGGATTGCCAGAACCACCATGCCTCAGCATGTGACGCAACCTCACTGGAGACCTGCTGACTGACTGGGTGATGACAACCCAAGAGAGTCCCTTCTGTGGCCATTTAACAACTAAGGGAGCCAGGCCTGGTGGACTGGAATCCCAGCTACTAAAGACATTGAAAACAGGAAGGTTGGCCAGGTTGGCCGGGTGGTGGTGGCGCACGCCTTTAATCCCAGCATTCTGGAGGCAGAGGCAGGCGGATCTCTGTGAGTTTGAGACCAGCCTGGTCTACAAGAGCTAGTTCCAGGACAGGCTCCAAAACCACAGAGAAACCCTGTCGCAAAAACCCAAAAAAAAAAAAAAAAAACCCAGGAAGGTTGAAAGTTCAGCTTGTCTGGACTAAAGAGCAAGTTCAAGTCCAGTTTAGAACTCAGTGAGACCTTGTCTAAAAAATAAAAAAATAAAGCCACACACAGTGACACACACCTTTAATCCCAGCACTCAGGAAGCAGAGGCAGGTGAATCTCTGAGTTTGAAGCCAGCCTGATCTACACAGTGAGTTCCAGGCCAGCCAGAGCTACATAGCAAGAACCACAAAAAAAAAAAAAAAAAAAAAAAAAAAAAAAAAGCCAGGCAGTAGTGGTGAATATTTTTAATCCCAGCATTTGGGAGGTAGGGGCTGGCAGATCTTTGTGAGTTTGAGGCCAGACTGGTCTACAAAGCGAGTTCCAAGACAACCAGGACTGTTCCTCCGAGAAACCCTGTCTCTAAATAAATAAATAATAAAGAGCCTGTAATAAAGTACTTTTCCAGGCTGGCCTTGGATTCACTGAGATCCGCCTGCCTCTGCCTCCAGAATGCTGGGATTAAAGGCGTGGCCACTAGCTGAACTCCATTTACCAACCAGATGTAGTGGTTTGAATAAGAATGGCCTCCTTAATCACCAGAGAATGTTTGAAAGGATTAGCAGGATTAGGAGGTGTGGCCTTAATGGGGCAGATGTGGCCTTGTTGGAGGAAGTGTGTTACTGGGGGTGGGCTTTGTGGTTTCCAAAATCCAAGCCAGGCCCAGTCTCTTTCTGTCCATTCGTCCGCTGTCTACAGATCAGAGCGTAGCTCTCAGCTCCTGCTCTAGTGCCGTGCTCCCTGCTATGATGATAACAGACTAAGCCTCGGAAAGTGTAGGCAAGCCCATAACTACATGTTTTCTTTCTTAAGGATTGCTTTGGTCATGACATCTCTTCACAGCAATAGCACACAGCCTAAAATGCCCGGACCCTGTTTTCCTCTCCCAAGCTTGGATAGGGCAAAGGTCTGAGGAGAGGCGTGAAAGCAGCCTCGTGAGATGGGAGCCGCAAGCTGGGGTATAGTCACTCATTGAGGATGCAGAACAGAGAGCGGTGTGATACCCAGGGCCCCATCCGACCGTGGAAGTTCTGCTCGCACTGGTTTCACTGTCTCTGCCTGGCCTTGTGTTGACACGCCACCTCCCTAAGTTCTCTTAGGAGGCTGCTATGACTGGATCCAGGTGACGAAGAAAGAGGCTCAGTAGCCTGGCCAGGGCCACACAACTGAAGAGCTGTGGATCTGGGGTTCAAACCTAGGTCTCTGCTACAGTGGCTTTGTTAATTCTCATTTTTCGCTTTGTTTGATTTTTTTTTTTTTTTTTTTTTCAAACCTAGGTCTCTGCTACAGTGGCTTTGTTAATTCTCATTTTTCGCTTTGTTTGATTTTTTTTTTTTTGTGACAGGATTTCTCTGTGTAGCTCTAGCTGTCCTGAAACTTACTCTGTAGACCAGGCTGGTCTCAAACTCACAGAGATCTGCCTGCCTCTGCCTCCCGAGTGCCAGGGGTGGGGTTAAAGGTGTGTACCACTCCCACTGGCTGCTTTTTCCTTTCTCTTATTTTTTTTTTTCTTTTCAGTTTTACACTGCCTTTAGTATCTGGGAGACACTCACCAGACTGCACTAAGCAAGCATCTACAGTATAGCCCCAGAGCAGGGTCAGTATGGACCAGGAAGACCTGTTCTTTTTCCAAGAAGCAGTGGGGCAGCTTTAGCTCAGTCCTGCACTGGAGGGACTGGAGGGAATCAAAGGACTAAGGGATTGGAGGGAGAGAAGCGAGGCCTGGCAGTGCAGGTCAAGCCTAGACCAAAGTCCTCACTCTGGAGGGAGGGCACTAGGGTCTGTGGTCAGGGCTCCAGCAGAGGGCTGCCTGCTTGGACCTCCAGCACAGGCTGTGGAGGGACAGCAGGACAGCCGCCAGCCAGCAGGTCTCTGCGCCACACTACCAACGGCCACTTAAAACAGCACAAAGGGGGCTCTGAGCACAGCTTCCTCACCACACTGAGCCCCATTCATTCCCAGGGACACCAGCAACTATCCTGGCGCCGGGGCCAACGGCAAGCCTGGCTCTGACGAGGCATCTATGCCATGGCAACAGACGCTCCAAGATCCAGCTTCCCAGGTCTCATACCACAGGCCTACCGACCCACTGCTGTTGGCTGGCCTGGCCTGCTGTCCTCCTTGTCCGTGCGGCCACTCTTCAGCCATAGCACCAGGGCTTGCTGAGGACCACCGCGTGCAGGCCAGAGATCTCTCCCATGAAGTAGGAGTTACTGTGACTCCCATTTCATAGGTAAGGAAACTGAGTCCCAGAGAAGAGCAACACACAGCAGTTGGAGAGCTGGTTTGGCCAGAAAGCCAGCACTGGTTTGGCAAACTGATGCAATAGCATGGGTTGTAACTGTCTCCCAGGCGAGCAGCCAGGAGACTATTACTTTGCCTTCTACTGGGAGACCCTCAGCTCTTTTTGGGGTGTAGACCCCTCCCTATCTCCTGATGGTAACTTGGAGAGGAAAGGGGTCACCCCAGAGGTCTGCTCTGGAATCATGAGTCCCAATAAACTTTTGTTTGTTTTGTTTTGTTTTGTTTTGAGACAGGGTTTCTCTGTGTACCCCTGGTTGTCCTGGAACTCACTCTGTACACCAGGCTGGCCCTGGACTCACAGAGATCCACCTGCCTCTGCCTCCCGATTGCTGGGATTAAAGGTGTGTGCCACCACTGTCTGGTAAATCCCAGTAAACTTTTCTAAGTGCCTTGGTCGTGGTGTTTGTCACAGCAACAGAAAGTAGCTGAGGCTGGGTGGTGGTGGCGGCGCATGCCTTTAATCCCAGCACTCGGGAGGCAGAGACAGGGGATCTCTGTGCGTTCGAGGCCAGCCTGGTTTACAGAAAGAGTTCCAGGACAGGCTCCATAGCTACTGAGAAACCCTGTCTCGAAAAACAAAACAAACAAACAAAAAACAAAGAGAAAGAAAGAGAGAGAGAGAGAGAAAGAAAGAGAAGAAAGGAAGAAAGAGAAAGAAAGAAAGAAAGAAAGAAAGAAAGAAAGAAAGAAAGAAAGAAACTGAGATAAAGGTCTAGAAATTTCCTCCTTGGCCGGTAAGCAGTGGCCTGTGTAGGCATCCATAAATAGGACCCTGCAGCCAGAACCTTGTAGGGCTGTGTCTCTTTCTCTTTCAGGACCTTGGGGTCCTCTTCACCCCATCAAGGATCAGACTGACCTCTGACCTCTCTTCCTGCAGCTGACAGGAAGCTGAGGAGCTGCAGGCCTGGAAGGCAGCTCCCAGGGTTCTGTTGTTGGATTGGCAATTTCCAGCCCCAAGTGACTTGACTTTGGGGACAAAATTTTGATGGAGGATGCAGGGTGGGACCCGCTGTCCTGGAGTACATCTCGCACAGATGGGGCCAGGCAGGCTGATTGCACACATGTAATTCCAGGACTTGGAAGCTGAGATAGAAAGATCTTCAATTGGAGGGCAACCTGGGATATGTCAGATTTATATCTCAAAGCAACAGCAAAAATGTCCCCTCTGGGCTGGTGGGAGTGTGGCTCAGTGAGGCCGCCCTTGCCTAGTGTGTGAAGGACAGAGTTCCCTCCCAAGCATAGAAGAAGAAAGAACGAGGGAAGTGAAGTCTCCAGAGGATGGCTGTCTATCGTGCACTGTCCCTGTTGTCACAAAGGCTAGAGAGGCAATGTCACTCCGAAGTGGGTTAGACCTTATGGCTCTCCAGTTCCAACATGGGCTACCACCCTTCTCTATAGCTATACATGGGATTTCATCTCCTTATGTCTGTTCTGTATGGGCACAGAACACACAGACACACACACAGACCCACACTCATACACACAGATGCACATATATGACACTCATATATTTATACGCTCATACAACACTCATATACACACGTTCATATACATACACATACACACATATATACATATACATACACATACACACATATATACATATACATACACATACACACTCATATATACATATTCACACACATACACACACACTCATATATACATATACACACATACACACTCATATATACATATACACACACACATACACACATTTGTGCTTGCAGGGCACCAGCCTGTATACTATTGGAAGGGCCTAATGACCCTGTCTTTGCCACCAGCTCTCTCTGTGACCTGTGGAAATCCCCTTGCCTCTCTGTGCCTCAGTTTCCCTATCTCTGTCCGAAGGATATGGAAGACCTGTCCTCATATGTCTTTGCTAGCTTGGACGGGGACAATCATGTCAGAGCAGGTGACTTCATGCTTGGCTCTGTCTGGTGTTCTGGCCACCGTGAAGAAACCCGCTCACCGAGAGGAAAATGACGAAGCTCAAGCAGGTGAATCATCTCGTCTCTGATCACACAGTGACAAAGTAGCCAATCAGAAGTTGAATTTGGGCCAGGGTGACCCAAGCCCACGTCCAGCATTCTCTTCTCTATCACCGTCAATCCATCTCCTAGGTACTGGGCCTCAGTATAAACTACCCAACCCTGGGCCTGTCTCCTTGCCTGGCATCCTGTGAGCCAGGCCCCGACAGCTGTTGGCAGGTCCCCTGTGGCCCCCAGCCTAGTGGGCTCTGTTCCCAGAGCCTGCGGTTTGTTCTCTGGCCTTCTGGGTCCCATGGGTTTGTGGTGTGCCCCCTGCCCCTGCTGCTGGCTGAGGAGGCCCTCAGGGGCTGGACTGAGGAGGCCCCAGCTCCAGCCCCCGCCCCTGTGGGGAGGGTGGGAGGGTGGGGCTGTGGGAGTTTCGCTAGGTTTAAAAATACACAGAGGAAGCAAGTTGAGAGGGCAAGAGAAAGGGGAAGGGGTGTGGGGGAGGCCCTTCAACCTATATGTCTTGAGCCTGGAGTAGCCACATGCTAGCAAGCCAGGGACTTTGCACAACTCGCCAACATGACGGAGATGCCCAAGAAAACCAGCAGAAAGTTCAGTGAGTACAGACTGTCTACCTTCCCGCAGTCCGTCCAGCTTGGCCTCTCTGCATCTGCTTCTCACCACTGTCTACTTCTTTCTCTCTCTTTCTCTCTCTCTCTCTCTCTCTCTCTCTCTCTCTCTCTCTCACCAGAAGGTTACTGCCCACCCATGGTGTGGTACAGGGTATCTATATGTCTGTCTGTCTGTCTGTGTCTGCCTTTCCATACCCCCCCCCTGCTTCCCTCTTGCTATAACCAGCCCCTCAGCATTTACATCTTCTGTGCCATCCTGGCCTGTCTCTGACCTTGAGACCCCCCACATACCCACATAGGGTACTATCTCAGGGAGATCTCTGTGGAGCTAGTGGATCTGGGGACTACAGATGCTGTCATATGTCCCCACCAGCAGTGAGGCTGGAAGCTCCTACAGCCAGTTCCTGAGTGAACTACACCCAGGCACTGCGCACTGCTATCTCTTCCCCCGGGTCCATTCATTTCGGGGGGGGGGGGCAAACTTCTCCTGTGCCCTGAAACCTCTGACCTTCCAGCGCTTTCCCTCCCTCCCTCTCTCTCTTTCTCTCTCTTTGTGTGTGTGTGTGTGTGTGTGTGTGTGTGTGTGTGTGTGCGCGCTTGCTTGCTTGCTTGCATGCTGGGATGTATCTCACAGATGGACATACACATATCTGTAATCCTAGCACTCAGAAGACAAAGGCAGGAGGCTCATGAGCAGACCAGACCAGGTTACAGAGAGGACAGTGTCTCATACAAACACACAAAACGAACAAAACCTGTAATACCGAGAAAGGAGGCAATCAGTGGACTGGCTGATAAATACTAGTGAAATCTCTGTCCCAGGTCCACTTTTCTAGAAGCAGGGCAGGAGCCAGCACTGTCTGAACTGGGACAGGGGGAATGGGCAGGAAAAAATTCTGAGGTCCTGAGCCCTGAGCTTCCTTCCACCCAGGCTCAGTCCCATTCTTACTGTGTGACTGTAGGCAAACCCTGTCCCCTCTCTGGGCCACAGATTCTGTCCCTGTCAAATGTGAGCATGCTGCTTATATTCAGTCAGGGGTGTATGATGCAGAGAACGCAAAGTTGGCCAGGGAAATGGAACGGCAGTGTTTCCCCCTTTTGCTTACCTCATCGGGAGGCCCTACGGAAGTCAGAAGGTGACACTGTGAGAAGGGACAGTCCCACAGCCTGGGGTAGATGCAGGGAGGAGAAAACACGCACCCACAGATGGGCCAGCACTCCTGGGCTGGCTGACACACATCTCCTTTGAACCTAGGTGCCAGAGGCTGCTGAGGACACCGCTCCTTACCCAACTCTCTGTCTCTCTTTCTCATTCTCTCTCTCTGGTCCAGGCTTTGGGACATGCTATGGGATTTCACTCCTCTGAAAATATGAGTTTTCACTCAGTGAAAAACAGGATATTATTCATATGCTAAGAATTCACACACACCATGTTTGAGAAAGTGAGAAGCATTTTTGGTCATCATTGTTGTCTCAATTTTTAATACCTTTTCGAGGATATTTTGTATGCCAGACAGCACATGAAGTATATTATTTAAAAGGTCTGCATGTGTGTGCATGATATGTTCGGGTACAACATCAGGTGTCTTCTTTTACCCTTCTCTGTCTTATTTTTTAAAACAGATTTCTGTTTTTTTAAGATTTATTTATTTATTATGTATACAACATTCTGCCTCCATGAATGCCTGCACGCCAGAGGAGGGCTCCAGATCTCATTACAGATGGTTGTGAGCCACCATGTGGTTGCTGGGAATTGAACTCAGGACCTCTGGAAGAGCAGCCAATGCTCTTAACCATTGAGCCATCTCTCCAGCCCCAAACAGATTTCTTTTTTTTAAAAAAAAATGTGTTAGAGCTGAGCGGTGGTGGCTCACGCCTTTAATCCCAGCATTTGGGAGGCAGAAGCAGGCGGATCTCTATGAATTCGAGGCCAGTCTTATCTACATAGTGAGTTCCAGGACAGGACAGTCAGGAGTGATGCACAGAGAAACCCTGTCTCAAAAACAAACAAGCAACAAGAAATTGTTTTAAAAAATTATATCCTCAAACAGTGGTGGCACATGCCATCAATCACAGCACTCAAGAAGCAGACAGATGGATCTCTGTGAGTTCAAGGCCAGCCTGGTCTACAAAGCGAGTTCCAGAATAGACAGAGAATACACAGAGAAACCCTGCCTTGAAAAACAAGAACAAGGGGACTGGAGAGATGGCTCAGTGGTTAAGAGCACTGTCTGCTCTTTCAGAGGTCCTGAGTTCAATTCCCAGCAACCACATGGTGGCTCCAACCATCTGTAAAGAGATCTGGCGCCCTCCTCTGGCCTGTGGGTATAAATGGAGGCAGAAAGTTGTATACATAATAAATAAAAATTTAAAAAAAAAAGAAAAACAAGAACAAAAACAGAGGGGAAGGGCAGAGGGAGAGAGAGAGAGAGAATGAGTAGAGCGAGGAACTGGTCTTGACATGCTGAACTTTCTTTGTACCCTCACTTAGTGGACCTGTGTTGATTTTTATTGTTCCTACATTCCTGTTGACATTGTCATTAATTCTTTTTCCTCTCCTCCTCTCTTGCCAGAGTTCTTCAAGTTCAAAGGCCTTGGGAGTCTTTCCAATCTCCCTCGGTCCTTTTCTCTGAGACGGTCTTCAGCCTCCGTTAGTATCCGCTCTTATCTGGAGCCTGACACCTTTGAAGCCACACAGGATGACATGGTGACAGTCCCCAAGAGTCCTCCTGCTTATGCTCGTTCCAGTGACATGTACAGCCACATGGGTACCATGCCTCGCTCTAACATCAAGAAGGCTCACAAGCAACAGGCTGCCCAGAAGGCCCAAGAGGTCAGCCTTGAGTCCCACCTGGTATCTCGAGGGCTGCCAGACCCACCCGGTTTAGAGGCAGCCAAAGAAGCAGTGGAGGAAATGGATGCCCCACTGGAGGACACCCCAGGAGTGGGACCCACACCTTTAGTAGCAGAGGTGGACCCTATGAGGAAGCCTAAAGATCCCACAGTAGACACAAAGGAGGAACAAATTCCTGGGGATGAGCACTCAGAAAGGTAGGTGCCAACAGGGGCAGGGAAGGCAGGAGGACATGCTCTGATGGGTTTGTAGCCATCTCTAGCTGGTACAGCTCCAACATAAACTAGGATGTAGGGAATGGCACTTCCTGCAATCCCAGCAATGAGGTAGCTGAGACTGGAGGATTGCTGTGAGTTAGAGGTCAGCCTGGACTACAGAATGAAACCCTGTCTCAAAACAAAAATGAACAAAACAAGCTAAAAAAGAAATAAAGTGTGTAAGTGACCCAGCAGGTTAGTGTGGAGATCACTTGGGAGAGTGCTCGCCTAGCACACAGGAAGCCCTGTGGCTGATCCCTGCCTTAGTCAGGATGAAACATCATAACCAAAAAGCAAACTGGGGAGGCAAGGGTTTATCGGGCTTACACTTCCACATGGCTGTTCATCATGGAAGGAAGTCGGAACAGGAACTCACACAGGGCAGGAACCTGGAGGCAGGAGCTGATGGGGAGGCCATGGAGGGTGCTGCTTACTGACTTGCCCCTCATGTTTTGCCCAGTCTGTTTCTAGAACCCAGGACCAGCAGCCCAGGGGGTGGCACCGCCCACAATGGGCTGGGCTCTCACACATCAATCACTAATGAAAATGCCCTTCAGTCTTGTGTTCAGTCCCGTTTTATTTATTTATGTAGTTAGTTTTGTTTTAGCTTTTTGTTGTTTGGGAACAAGGTTTCTCTGTGAAGCCCTGGCTGTCCTGGAACTTGGTTGGAGACCAGGATGACTTCAAATGCAGTGAGATCCGCCTGTCTCTGCCTCCTGAGTGCCAGGATTAAAAGCTTGTGCCACCACTGCCCGGCTCAACATCGCCATAAGAGGAATCATTTTCTTAAGTGAGTTTCCCTCCTCTCGATGACTTTAGCTCCGGTCAAGTTGACATAAAAATATACAGCACAATCCTCATCACTACATAAATTGGTGTGGTGGCATTTGGGAGCTGGAAGCCGGAGGATCAAGAAGTTCAGAGTCGTCCTTGGTTTTATGTGGAGTTGGGGAGTGGGGGCGGGGCATAAGCAGGCAGGAGACAGAATATCCAAGTGCTTCCCACAGACTAGGAACTGTTGGTTAACATTTGTAACTAATTCTCAAAAGAAAACCAGCTAGAGATACACAGTTTCTATAGCAGATAAAGAAACCGATACAGGGAGGGGAAGTCGGCCGCTCCAGCCAGGCTTAACATGGGTCCTGTCAGCAAGGAAGCTGTGTTTGAACTCAGAGCCTAGGGCGAACTCCTGCATGAGCTTGGCAGCAAGGTGGGCCCTGTGGCCTGGCACCGAATCCCACGCCCAGAGCCCTTCACCTTTAGTTCTGGGAACCAACATGGCAAGGCCTGCAGGGTCTAGAAAGTCACTTGTCAATGGATTTGCTTCTAGCACCCTGTAAACTGAGCTTATAGTGGGTAAGGCGGCTCAGTAGGTAAAGACGCATATTATCAAGTGGACACAAGTCTGATCCCCAGTACCCACATGGTGGAGGGAGAGAACAGGCATGTGGTGGCTTGTTCACCTGCCCTCGCCCCAAAAAAAGCACAAATAGTGATAAGATCGACAATGACTCATTGAACATTTTATTGATTGACTGATTGATGGTTTTTTGTTTGTTTGTTTTTGTTTTATTTACTCTTTTTGAGACAGGGTCTCTAGTCTGGGCTGTCCTGGAACTCACTATGTAGACCAGGAACTCAGATCCTCCTGCCTCTGCTTCCGGAGTGCACTCACGGAGCACTTTAAAAATTCCTGTTGCTGAGTGTTGTGGTGGGTGCCCTTAATCCCGGCACTCTAGAGGTTGAGTCAGAGGGTCACCAGCTCAAAGGTAGCCTGGGCTACACAGCCCCACACAGTTTTGATAAGGAAAGCAAGACTCGGTAAAGGTAGGCATACAGATGTAGGGTTTGAGCTCCGCCTTTCTCCACTGGTTAGGCTTTCATACACTTGTGGTCACCTTCTAATCCCCAGGGTTGTGGACTTCACACCCTTCAACTCCAGCTTTGAAAACTTCAGCAGCCTTGGTCAAACAAAACAAGCCAGATGTGTTGAACAAAAGTAACTCTGGAGCCAGTGTGAGGCCTTACTGGACAGACTTTCCCTGGGACCAAATCCAGCATCCCCATGTGGAGGTGCAGCTAGGTTCAGACCCCTAGTTCAGTGGCAACAGAATTTTGTTTGCTTGTTTAGACAAGGTCTCACAGTATAGCCCTCGCTGTCCGGGAACTTGCTTTGTAGACCAGGCTGGCCTTGAACTCATAGAGATCCACCTGCCTCTGCCTCATAGTGCAGTGCTGAGATTAAAGGTGTGTGCCACCACACTGGGCAATTTTTTAAAAGATGTATTTTTATTTTATGTGTATGAATGTTTTGCCTACATGTATGTTTGTGTACCACATGCTTGCAGTGCCCACGGAGGCCAAAGGAGAGCATCAGATCTCTGGGTCTGGCGTTTACAGTCGGTTGTGAGCCACCAAGTGGATCCTGGAAACGGAACCTGGGTTTTCTAGAAGAACAACAAGTATTCTTTGTTGTTGTTTTGGTTTGCTTTAGTTTTTGATTTTTCACCACAGGGTTTCTTTGTGTAGCCTTGACTGTCCTAGAAGAAGCTCTGTAGCCAGGCTGGCCTCGAACTCACAGAGATCCACCTGCCTCTTCCTCCTCCTCCTCCTCCCAAGTGCGGGGATTAAAGATGTGGGCCAAATTGACAAATATTCTAAACCGCTGAGCCCTGGCATCTCCAAGCCCTGGCAACAGAAGTTTGTTAATATGCCCAATAGCACCAGATCACATTCTGGAAATGCTATTTTCATGATTAATAAAATTAAGACTTTCTACCATCTCTCGCTGCCTTAGGCTGTTTTCTCCAGCTACCCTCTCCAAAATTCGGCTTCGTTCAGCAGTTAAGGTGCTACGATCTTATTGGTGAGGAGAGCCAGCCAGATCCTTGAAGTTGTGAGCTTTCCGGGCTTGAGGCTTTACCGAAAGCTTGGCTCCTCCCACCCAGACGCTGATTGGTTCGCCGGAGCAGGGGGGCAGGACGCGGCAGAGGGGTGTGTTCGGTAGGGGGCGAGTTCTCCGGTCGGGGCAGTGATTGACAGGGAGGGGAGGGGGAGCGAGATCGGAGAAGTAGAGGAGGATGTGTTCTTGGTTGGATCGTAGCGGCACAGGGGCGTGTCTGGGGCGTGGTCTTCAGGTCTGGCCCTGCCCCTAGGGTCCGACACTAAGCTCCGTAGCTCCTGCCTGACTCTTAGCGGGAGTGTCAGACTGAGAGTTCCCGGGCTGCAGGAGGTGACAAGGGAAACCATGACTGCAGTGGGCCGGAGGTGCTCTGCGCTGGGGCCCCGAAGGTGAGTGACTGAACAGACTCTAGGGAGAGCCAGGGGACAAGCAGGAGTGGCCCAGTGGGGAGATGCTCGTCCCAGAGGCAGCTGACACACACTGCCATGGGTTTAACATCTGGGGCTTTTCTTTCTTTTTCTTTATGAGGCAGAGTCTCATGTAGCACAGGCTGTGCTCAAACTTTTTTTTTTTTTTTTTGAGACAGAGTCTGTGTAGCCCTGGCTAACCTGGAACTCAAAGAGATCTGCCTGTCCCTGCCTAGTACTGAGATTAAAGGCAAGTGCCAGGATGTCCAAACTCCTGATTATCCTGCACATGAGACAAGGGCAGGGCTTACAGACCTGTGCCACCACACCTGGCAGCATCTGGATTGCTCTTGAGTTGTGACTGTCCTCTGCTTGTCCCTGAGCGCTCTCTCTCTCTCTCTCTCTCTCTCTCTCTCTCTCTCTCTCTCTCTCTCGCTACTGGAGATAGAACCCATCTTGTAAAATCAAGACAGAAAAGTTTGCCTGTTTGGCCCGCCTAGTGGAAGTCAGGATGAGAGTTTGACTCCACCTCCTGGGCTCTTGCTAACAACCTTCAGGAACACATCCGCCTCAGGCAGGGCCAGGGCCCTGATGAAGGGTCTTCAGAGGCCTTGTGAAGGTCTAGGCCTCCGCCCAAGCTGCTATGGCACAGGCTTGTCCCGGGGATGCCTTTGACATCAGGCTTCTCCTGGAACCGACAAACAGAAACATTTGAGACACTCTGCCTCCCATCTTCTGAAGTGTTCAGAGGTTCTCAGGATGGGGTTAGCACGCCAGATCAAACCCTGTTCTGGTGCCCCAGGACACAGTGTCCCCACAACAGCCCCAATCTCTGGGGACTATAGAACATTTTGTTACAGGAGTCCCTTGGAGTCGGGAGAGCAGTGGGTGTCCGGGCTAGCTTTGCCCCAGCTGGACGGACGGCCAAGAGTGCCAGTGAGCAGGATGGGGCCACCTTCCTGAGTGTCCCAAGGGGTCAATCTGGTGAATGTCAGAGTAGCCCAGGCTGGGGAGATGGTGCCCTCCCCCATCCTGGAAAGGCAGGGTGCACCTGGAGCAGGAGGAAGGAAGGGGAAGAGGTGAGGCTGCAGGGATTTCCTGGTGCCCTATCTTTGCTGAGATCATGGAGGATGAGGCAGGAGTCAGAGGAGACTTTCAGTTGGCCTGCATCCTCCACACAGCCTTCTGCTGAAGGAAATGAGACAGCGGGCCAACTGCCCCTTGCCCCTAAATCAGTGTGCCAGAGGATGAGGCCAGGCCTGGAGAAAGAGGGGACCCCACACGTGCCCCATGTACTCACACAGCAATATCAAGCCAGGGTCCCATGACTTACCAGCTAGCAAGGCTCTGAAAGTGAGAAGCTCCTTTGCTTTGTTTGCCCAGTGGTTAGACCAGAGCCTAGAGAAGACGGCTCTCCTGGGGTTCTGCGTTTGTGAGAAGTGCAGGTAGTTTGCTCACAGACCAACTCTCAGCTCAAGATCTTAACCACTAGGCCATACTCCCCTCCCTCAGAGAAAGCCTGAGAGCCTTTTCTGCCGCTGTTTCAAATGACCTTCCACAGTGCCCTGGTATCCGGGTGCATTTCCCAGAAGAGCACTTAGGGTTACCCCAGTCAAGCCGAGTTAGCAGTT